AAAAGTACGTATAATCATAGTATGTTTGTATTAATAAATTTTTGATTATGTATTTATTTGAATATTAACATATTTAACCAATTTTAATAACGCCACAGAGAAAAAAGAAAGTTCGACTTTCTGTTAGCAAGAAAGTAACATCACCTATGCCCACGCATTCGGTCACACATGATTTTATATAGTTAAATCACAACAACTTTCGTGTAAACAAAACCTTCGTATGTAAACAAAAATTTCAAATAGGAAATCTTGTGTATCATACAACCTGCAGTACCTATTTCTCGCACTAACTTTACTTCGAAAAAAGAAAATAGTATAAAATAGAATTTAACAGGTATACGTGTATACTTTTTGTAACAAAATCTTATTTCCTGAAATTTCATTTACTTTTCACGCTACAATTTACTTTGAAAAAAAAAAACAAAAAAACAAAATGGAAGATTGTTTGGTATACAGCAGAATTTAATGGGTATCTTCGTTCATTTCTCACATTACGTTTCACTTCGAAAAAAAATAAATAAATAAAACGGAGGATTTTTTTAGTATACAGTAAAATTTAATTACACATTTTTTTAATGTGCAAAATCTTTTAAATATCACACAATCTGTAGCATTACTGAAATTTACTTTATCTCTCACGTTAAATTTAACCTTGAAAAGAAGAAGAAACAAAATGGAAGAATTGAATAGGTACTTTCGTTCATTTCTCACGTTACATTTCACTTCGGAAAAAAGAAAAGAGAAACTAAAGATTTTCTGGCATACAGAAGAAATTTTTTCACACATGATTCGTCCAAATTTTTCCTAATAATTATCAAAATACTTCAATCAAATAGTATCACACTTCTTTCTCCCCCAAAATTCACTCGAAGAAGAAAACCCCGAAGATAAAGAAAAAAAGAAACCAAAACTTCTCTAGTATACAGAAGAATTTTTTTTCACACACGATTCATCTAAATTTCGTAAATAATTATCCAAAAGCTTCAATAGAACAGTGTCACACTTGACTCTCCCCCGAGACTCACTCAAAGGAAAAAGTCACGAAGATTTGAAAAAAGGTTGCGAATAAAAGAAAAATAGACCAAAGCTTTTCTAGTATACAGAAGAAATTTCTTTCTAAATTTCCCGAACAATCACCAAAAAACTTGTCCCCCTTCCGGAACTCACTCAAAGAAAAATGATCGCGAAGGTTAAAAAAAAGAAGTGGGGTGGGAATGTATCCCCCGGATCGCGAAAAGAACGAGCGATGCCGAGAGTGGCAAGAGAGCGGGGCAGATCGGCGCGGTACAGGAAAGGTTAACACGTTAAACGTCCAGCCTGTTTTGCCTACCGTTCCGTTCAGGCCACACTTGGCCGTCAAGTGGGCCATGCGAACTATAAACAGAAGACGACCCAACGAAAAGTACACTGTCTGTCACCGGTGACTGACGCGGCCTGAACGGAAAGCATAGCGTCAGTCGCCGGCGACTGACATGGCGCTTAACGTGTTAAGAGATGGCGGCGTCCGAAGAGATGAAAAGAAGAGATACTTACCAGTGAACGCATGTTGCCAAAACGACGAGATACGTGCATGTACAACGGCACAACGCTCTCTTGAGAAAGTGCGATGCTGTGTGAACGATGGAGAGATCTCTCTGCGTCAGATGAAAAAAAAAAAAAAGAGCCAACGTCACAAAACCGATGGTTGCCGGCGTGAAGTTCGTGAGCAACTCTTGGACTGTTGGGGGCACAGCCGACCTTTATACCGGCGAGTCTACACAAGCCAGTGTGCCAGCCTTTACATAACACGAGAAAGTTTATTTCGGGACAGCCATGTCTCCCTCTAGAGCATTTTTAACCGGGGGAAACATCCACACCCCCTACGGAACTGAAAAGACGAGCAGAGATGATCGATCCTTTCGGACGCGTCTGTGCACGGCTTTTTAACTGCGCGATTTCACCGGACGCCTGTACGCCACCGCTGCTCGCGCCTTTTCTCCATCCTCCCGGTACAGTACACGCTGTGCAAACTTGCGTAATCCCTCACTTGCGTAATTATCGCGAGTATTCTCGGTGTCTTCTCCTTTTCGGCGAGGTCCGGCGATGCAACGTCGAGCAACGGCCGCGGCGGACCGTTCGATCGTGCGTTTTGCTGGAAACGGTTCTCACGCCATTTTTGGTCATATGTACCTTGGTTCGCTTTTATACGAGCAATTTCGAGTTCGTGCAACTCTGGCTCGGGTCTGATACGTGGAATGGTTTTGTGCAATTCGAAGATGAGTTTGGGGGTAATTGATCGTGGGTTGCTTCTTGTGGAGGATCTTTGATGAGAATTTTGGGTGATAATTTGGGTCGATTGGTTAGTTCTGATTTGGGTCAATAGAGGGCGACTTTTCGAGACGTTGAAACGCGATAGAGCTTATTTCATTGAAATTATACTGATATTTACTTTTGATCGTATCAATTATGTTGGTAATGTTGTAATTATAAAATTGCAGCGTTATATTAATAACGATAATTAATTAATAATATTGTGGTATTATATTAATAACGATAATCAATTAATAACAGTACGATTGCAATATTACAGTATTATATTAACAATAATAATTAATCGATAATATTACAATTAATATTACAGTGTATGTAGTATTGTAATGTTACAAATTCAATGAACAAACGAAACGAACAAAGGAACTTATTCGGGGTAATTCAATTTATTTGGCTAATTTGGACTTTACAAAGGGGCATTGGGGTACTGAACCCAAAATTGGGTTGCATTAACATCGCGTTGAATTGCATTGGGCTGCATCGCAAAAGTGGGATGCAATTCAATTCATTTCGTTCAAGTCGATGAAATTACCGTTTCGTTTATCAAATTCAAAATTTTTTCATCGAACTCGACAGTTTCATTTTTCCCCCCAAGCCTACTTTCAGTTTTACTGCACTTTTAACGAATGCCGTTAAATTCTTCGGCGGTAATTTGATACAAAGAGACAAACTGAAGTTTAAATTTCAGTGAAATAAACTCTGTGAAAAAATTAAATTTTAGTTTATCCTTGTATATTCCATGTTGCATCAACTGCATAAGGAAAAATCGGATGCTGTTACGATGCAATCCATTATTTCGAAGAAGCTGCAAGGTCCGATGCAATTCTTGGCGATCTTTAAGGTAATCTCACAGAGAGTGACATAAACAATGCTTAACTCGACGGCTTGAGAATTTAGGACAATGCAGTAGAATGTCTTTTACAATAATAGGTATATCGCAACGATAGCATATTATAGGACTTATCCCGGTAATGATTTACGAAATTTTATTCACAGCAAGTTTGTCGATACGCATATGAACCCCTTGGAAGCCAAAGTGACTAACTCCACTTTTCGAATTTTTCCAAATTTTAGTATCAAAACACCTGATTGACGCTGATCCTTTTGTATTTAAAATAAGTTTCTTTGATAATTAAGCTTAACACCACCAAACGACAAAAACACCACCGAAAAAAAAAACCAACGTGATTAACTCGAGTTTATAAATTTGTCAAAGTTTTACTCCCAAAGCACTTGTGGGCATATTTTTACATTTCAAATAAATCTCTTTAATTAATTAAGCTAAACTCCACTAAATGACGAAAATTTTTAGAGCCCCCCTGAATGATAAATAATTGATTTTAAAAGCCAATGCGATTAACTCCATATTCGAAAGTAAATCGTTGTAATAATGTAATTCAAACGTTTATTAATATTTAGCTAAGTAATTCTTTAATACAACGATACGAAAAATATTAATATTCACATTGGACTCTTCTCTTGGAATTTTCTCTACTTTTTGTTTCCTCGAGTTTCCACGATTTGACAAATGAGCAGCTCGTGGAACAATAGTTAACAAACGAAACAGGACAGAGAAGGTATCGTCGACAGAGATGCAGACTCCAGTGTACCGAAAAATCTTGGAGAATAGTTATGTGGGCTTTAATGTCAAATGGTAATAAACCTTCAAGCTCTCCTATATACAACGAGGCTCGATGTGAACTCAGCAATAGATAAGTTTCTCCGTAATTGAATACGAAATTAATTCACGTTATATGCTTATCGATATAGTTTCACAATCGTTGAATTTTTCTGATGTAAATACAGTTTCTATTTAATTATTATAGTTTTGCAAGCCTTCGTTACGCAACTATACCGTTTAGTTAATTTACTAAATTTATTACTAAAGTGGACACTTATCTCTCTAAACCTCAAGTTAATTTAAAGAAGCTAAAGGAATGATTTGATATTTCGTGATCTAACAATAAGTCAAATAATGGAAGAGATTTTCATTCGTTTGTAATTGTGGTTGTGTTTCTTAGTATATGGAGGAATTATACTTACGAGATAGCTGCAGAACGAATCGAGATTTCTTCACCAAGTATTTCAGTTGATTTGTAATATTAAATGATTGCTTGCATTATCATGGATTGAATTGATCTTTTCTTTTTAGAGACATATTTCTGATTTGAACAAGTGTTTTGTTAATGAAGTACAGTGGAATTGTTTTTTAATATTGAGTAATTTGTGGTGTTATTTTTCCTTTCAATATTTTCTTAAATTGATTTTTATATGTTTAGTAGTAGAGAATAAGCGTTGAAAGTGCGATAGGAACGTCAGAATATTAATTGTTATCTTTCTCTGCAAAGTTTTAGGAAAAGTAGTATTTCGTATGAATTCGTTGCAAATCCGAAATTTGCATATCTTCGTTATCTTTTTGAAGAGTAATTTTAATAGCAACGGGTAATATAAAATTTTTACTTTCATGCCTGATTTTATCTTCTTAGAAAGAAAGTATGACAACGTAAAAGTTGTGATATTTTTTTTTTTTTTCAATTTCGTTCCCAAAATTTTCGTATTCCATATTTTCCAATTTGGTTCACAAAAGTTTGATATTTCATATTTTCCAATTTGGTTCTCGAAAGTTTGATATTTCATATTTTTCAATTTGGTTCTCGAAAGTTTGATATTTCATATTTTCCAATTTGGTTCTCGAAAGTTTGATATTTCATATTTTTCAATTTGGTTCTCGAAAGTTTGATATTTCATATTTTCCAATTTCGTTCCCAAAATTTTGGTATTCCATATTTTCCAATTTCGTTCCCAAAATTTTCATATTCCATATTTTACAATTTCGTTCTCAAAAGTTTGATATCCAATATTTTTCAATTTCGTTCTCGAAAGTTTGATATTCCATATTTTTCAATTTCGCTCTCAAAATGTTGATATTCCATATTTTTCAATTTCGCTCTTAAAACCTTGATATTCATTTCGTTCCCAAAATTTTGGTATTCCATATTTTCCAATTTCGTTCCCAAAATTTTCATATTCCATATTTTACAATTTCGTTCTCAAAAGTTTGATATTTCATATTTTTCAATTTGGTTCTCGAAAGTTTGATATTTCATATTTTCCAATTTCGTTCCCAAAATTTTGGTATTCCATATTTTCCAATTTCGTTCCCAAAATTTTCATATTCCATATTTTACAATTTCGTTCTCAAAAGTTTGATATCCAATATTTTTCAATTTCGTTCTCGAAAGTTTGATATTCCATATTTTTCAATTTCGCTCTCAAAATGTTGATATTCCATATTTTTCAATTTCGCTCTTAAAACCTTGATATTCCATATTTTTCAATTTCTCTCTGAAAATTTTGGTATTGCATATTTTTCAATTTCGCTCTCAAATTTCGATATTCAAAATTTTTCCATTTCGCTCTCAAAATGTTGATATTCCATATTTTTCAATTTCGCTCTCAAATTTCGATATTCAATATTTTTCCATTTCGCTCTCAAAATGTTGATATTCCATATTTTTCAATTTCGCTCTTAAAACTTTGATATTCCATATTTTTCCATTTCGTTCTCAAAATTTTGAAATTCCATATTTTTCAATTTCATTCTCAAAATTTCATCTTTTCACACTTTCTTCCTTTTCAATTATAGAAGATTTCATTAATTTTCAATTACAAGTGTCTCAAATCAAACTTGAAAATCCATCAGAAAAATGTCGCGGAACAATTTAAACACGTAAAAAGGGCTACAAAAAAAAAGAAAGTACAAAGAAAAAAGAACGACAAAAGAAGAGAAGGATGATAAAACTGAAAACTGTCAGTCATAAATCCTCAGTATTACTCGATGTTTAACTTCTCGACGCGGAGCAGATAATTATGATTGGCTTGTCCTAATCGAAAGCTAGAATTTCTGCAAAATGGAGTTGCCTAGTCAATCAGAGAACTTGGTGATTTCACATTAGCGAGTGGTGAGTAGGCGAAAAAGGTTACTTTCAGTTGTACCTGTTATTTATCCAGAAGATAATGACATCGGTGTGTTAAACGTCCGTTACCCGCGCTTCTGTAGGAATTGAAATCTACGGAGACGAGTCCTTGACACAGTGATCCTAACGGCGTGCTACAACGTTCACATAATTGCATTAACCACCACCTAATATATGCAAGTCAATATTTATCTTTATGAAAGGAAGGTCTTTGATGGAAGACTTTGATGGAAGACAAAAGATTTCAGTATGGTCGTCAATGCAAGGAAAGGAAAGAAATACGATTTGTACAGGTGTTAAATATCTACAAACTTGTTCTCATATGTTTCCAACGTGTAAATGTTTCTTTTCGTTCGTTTATTCAAATTTGTACGCGGATAACGTAGAAAAAGTATGCGAGTACTTGAGAAATACGTTTTCAAAATTGAAAATAACAACAGTTAGAATAAATAACGAAACAAAAATTGGGTAAAAAATTTTCGCACTAAATATCCTTAATTTGAATGTAAGTTTGAATTTACACATTAAAAAACAAAATTTTCTGTTCCATTTTGCTAAGATGTTATTATTACACGAAAATTCCTGAAAAAGATAACTAACTCTTTCATAAACCTCTAATCACAATACACACGCTAACTAAAAAATTCAAAATTGGTACTTAAAAAAAATCTTTCCAAAAAAGGCTTTCAAATTAGGCATATTAGAACCAAAACTCCTACACTACCACTATATTTATTATGACAACCGCTGGATAACGATCCTAATGCACTGCGTAATCAGTTACGAGCACATTAAACAGCCTTCAGTACACAGTTTATAATACACATAAATCAATTTTAAAATTGAATATCCTCCGTGAAACTATAAGCAAAAAAGTAAACATTTATATTGCGAATTATAGAATAACCATAAAGTATGGTCGTTAATAACCAAAATCTTAATGTGACTTTAAATTATATTAAAAAAAAGAAGAAGAAGAAGGAATTCAATATGATCACTGACATCAAGAAGGAAATATACAGTCGACGAAAGCAATGGAAATTTTCTGAAGAGGCACGACGATCGCCACGCCTATCGCATTCTTCATGGCGACACTTTGCATGTACATTTATATAAAAAACCATTCAACTTGAACATATTTTTACCAAACTCTATTTCACATGCAAAACGATGTAGAAATGTCTGTCCAACTACTTCTTCGTATTATTCACCTTTACAAAACCAGGAGAAAATCATTTGCACATTATAAATGCTATTATAGATCGACAGGTTTATCGAAATTTGATATAGCACATCAAATTTTTTACCAGACTCAAATTTGAAATCTTCAAATTTTCTGGAAACACCAAAAAATGTTAATAGCAGTGAAAAAGAAACATTTTTTCAAAAGTACAAGTAATGTACTTTCTAGTTTATTATAATTTAATTACACTATAGCTTGTGCCCCTTAAGGAAAATTCAATGATTAATGTTTGATGAAAGTACACATGAAACAAGTATCATTACAAAGTTCAAGGAAATTGAAAATGTACACACAACAGAAATAAATCTATTTGCTATATGCTGACCTTACCATGTTTTGTTAAACATTATTACATAAACAGGTAAAACATCGAATTTGATTAGTCGTCGTGATCGTCGTCTTCAATTTTACGATCCTACCAAGATTACGTTACTGACCTTGCTAAATTTCATCAAACATTATTACAGTCATAAACATAACAGTGCTTTCTTTGCCAATTTTACGATTCTACGTTGCATATTTTAGTAATGAAGTTGTTAGAGTGCCTCTTCTGGCTGGAATGTTGAGCTCATGCTGGAATACTTGCACAATATATAGGAACTAGTGTCAATTAATAGCAGAAAAGTAGCTACTTCGATTAATAGAATTTATTTATCACCCGTTAGATATTTCGTACGAGATGAAGTTCCAAATTTTCACTAATACCGTGTTCAGTTATTTAGATTCGATAAGATTTTGTTTTAGAGTTCCTTTAGACTTTGCTGTTGACTGCTCTTAGACTACCCCTGTATCATGTTTATCCTACAACTTTAGGGGTGAGCAATAACGTGATTGGTTAATCAGGCGCATTTTTACCCCTGTAGTATGTCAATTTGAGTCCTTCTTAGCCAACTCGCCTGGTACCCAGGCGTGAGCTTATTATACTCGGCGAAATAACTATAGCGAGGTCGTAAAATCAGGCAGGCATGAAAAAACGTGAAATCTGTTCTCCAAAACATCAGTTTGTGTAAGTAAGGAGCTCGCGCTTCGTTCAGGGTCGTACGAAGTCAACTCGTCACTAGTTCTCCCATTATAGTATATTTAAAAAAGTGATAAAAACAGGAAAAAAGGTAGATACAATCATAGCGTTGGCTGTCCAAGGGTTCACATCTTTCATTCGACAATTGTGATTTGAAATTTACGTTTTTATAAGACGTATTGTACGGTGCTCAGGAGTTTGCCCCTAGGGCAGCACAGGGGCAAGAGGGGCACTTCTACCTAAATTTATACGTCACGCAATTTTAAATGATCCAATTCGTCGACGTTATCACATTAGCAAATAACGATAACACATGTGTCCTATTTTTATGATTGTGTTAGAGAAGGTGGGCTTATGGAAATATGACCCAATCAGACCTGCATTCGTTCCAGGGGCAAACTCCGGAGCTCTGCACAGTACACTGCCCTGCGTGCGGCTTGTTCAAACGATATTTTAGCTTAACATCGTGATTTACGACCTCATTATAGCTCTTCCACCAAGTATACCCGCATACAGTGGGTGCGAAAATTTTCTCATCATCAGACTGACTGTAAGGAATATTTTACTTTTGGTCTTCATTACCATTTTTCATTAACATTTTGAACGATTCCGGACCGACACGCTGCGCTAAATCTTAGTTTACCACGTTACGGAGTACTAGACTCTACTACTAGCGCCACAGTGAGGCGAATGGCCACAACTTACCAGGAATTGAACCTGACCCTTGGACAGTTTTTCGTGGTTTACGGGTATACCATTCACTCTTAGATTTCAAGTTGGTATTGTGTATTGGCGAGGGAATAAGGCCCAAAAGGCGCCTGGTCCCAACAGAAAATAATTGCCAATATTTTATTTTTTGGCTTTATAGCACTTAAATCGCTTTGCATAAGCAAAGCACCATCAAAATATATGGATAATAGAAACGCAGTTATGGCGATCATAAAACACTTTTTGGGCCCCACCTTCGGGCTTAGAGAGTACTGAACAGCAAAGAGACCTTTCAACAACAGTCACTTGAAAATAGCATAGCTAGGCATTTATGACATAAACCCAAAGTCTTAACAAGAGTAACAAACATAGAATGTTGCAAAATTTTAAACTTTTTAAAATTCAGTAACTTTGCTAATTTCAAATTCAGTAATTTAATTTTCAATTTTTTAAAATTAGTTAATGACAATTATCTCAACAAACTTTCTGTGAAGAGCTGCTTAAATATTTATTTTCTGCCTTACTTACTGAACAAACAGCTGCTTAGCTACAATGAGAAAGAAAGCTTGAAATAAAAGTGTGAAAAGTTGTTTAACAAATATTTCCTATTTATGTAGATACTTCCTTTGTAACGGAAACAATGCTAATTGTAAGTGAAGATACGTGCTTGAGATCTTTTACGTGCTATTATACATCACTCTGTACGTTTACATTAATTTGTTGATTTAACACGACACAAACTACATCGTTTAACATCTACATAACTTTCTCGCTTTCTACATTACAGTGTTACTTCATATTATTACTTTGTGCGTGTGATCGTGATGAACACGTTTCTGGATATAGGCAAACTATCGTGTTAACAGGAGGATATGTAATCAAAACTAAATTATTATGTAACATTTTTTCCGTAACATAAAATTTATCGTTACATGTACTAACCATTAGAGTAGCTGAGTGTTTTTATCTTGTAATTGACAATTTTGGATACCAAATCGTGTCTGTTTTACATAACTACTAGTTTTACTGTGGAACGAGTAACGTGGCAGTAGAATGGGTTATCTATGTGCAGGCAGTAGTATTACTTTATTCAACCGTATCCGCAACATTTGTATCTTTACCCACCTAAATGTACGATCAAAATTGGTACAATAGAATTGTTTATTATTTTCTTTATTAATTGTTGCGTATAATTGTTTTGCACAAAGAAAAATTTATAATATTAGATTAAAATCATGACGTATAAAAGAATGTAGAAGTGATGTTTAATATTCGTGATTCTTTATATTTAATATTCAATATATCGAACATTTTCAGATGGAATATATAACCACAAGTAACATTTATTTTCAACCTCTGTTATTAAACTACTACATAAAAATAACAAAATTACAAAGAATTCTCATTAATCAAATATATCTCCGAGACTCTGAAGTCAATTAATTAAATTAAACCTACTTTCCTAATACAATTCTTTTTTACCACTTAAAATGCAAGATTCCTATTGACCTTTAAACGGTTAAAAAACGCCTACGCGTAAGTATTTCATCTAAAGACTTTCTTTTCTCGTAACTGTTCCTTCGACATTCACGTGTGTGCAGGTATTACTAGCGCGGCTGCCGGCGACTATGATATTTAAAACCTTTCAAAGTGAAATTACCAAATAGTCACCGTAAAATATCACTCTATCTTCCATCGGTAGCTTTCACAGACTTTCTTCTTGCTCGTTGCACCACGATGGAGATCTATCGATCACACCGACTACATTACTGTAATGGGAAAATGTTCGGGCGTAACACAGTCGATCGATTCGACTAATAGAGAGAATCGTGTATGGAAGCTGGATCGTGGTGGCGCGGTGGTGGGGGTATCGGCCCCCTGTCGAAGACGCACG